AATGAATAGCAGGGACCGCGGAGCGTGAATTTGTTTTGGGGGGGGGCTAGCGGCGAGGAGGTACTAGAGGGGGTTCGGAAATTTTTGAAATCTTAACTCTCGGAAATGTCATTTCCAGCGTTTTGAGGCGTTATCAAAGACATTTTTACCGCCACACGGTCAGCGATATTATCAATAAATCCCAAAGACTTCTCAAAAAAGCTTCAATATTAATTGTTCACTCTCAGTTTTTACACAATTTTTATAGAATATATAAATGGTGAAATTTCATAAGGAGGCTCTTCACTTCTTTATTTAAGAAAATTCAAAATGTCGGAAAAATTATTGGGGGGCTGTAGCCCCCAAGCTCCCCCTGCTCCGCGGTCCATGAATAGTAAGTATTATTCCAATTGAAACGTTACTGTTTAAAAAAATATTGGTCTTTACATTTAATTTTATTTGATACTTCAGGAAGGCAAAATTGAGATATTTGATATCGCTTCTGGATGCCTTCTAGAGACTGTGGATGCACATAATGGTCCTGTTTGGAGCTTATCGTTAGCCTCAGATAAAGTAAGACTGATTGCTTTCAATAAGCCCAGTACAGCTGGGGGTCATGTGACCTACACGTAAGCTGATAGGTTTAAGGTAGTCACATTATCTCTTATAAATGCAAACTAAGGGTCTCTTTTCTTCCCCCCGAAATACACAGTGCTCATGGTCCTTAGTTTAGTGATCACCACTACATCAGCATTCGAACCCACAACCCTCGCTTAGTAAGCAAATTAATTATATATTAAATCATGATTGTTTTGCACCACTTAATTTACAAATACGGTATATGTAACTGTATATACATGTACAATACATTCAATAATTTGTAATATTTTCTTTACTATAATTTTATGCACCATCAAGACATGTACTTACTAGAAGTCTAATTACAAATATTTGAGAAGAATTCCAGATATTTTTTAATAAAAATAATAATAATAATATTTAAAAAAAAACTGATTCAATCCTAACATCATTGGTTAATTTTGTTTTGAAGCGTGGATTTGTGTCTGGCAGTGGAGACTGCTGTGCAAAGTTTTGGGAATTTGAGCTTGTAACAGATGAAAACTACTCAAAATCCAGGTTGGCCTTTCATTCAATATCAAATTAAATGCTTCTCAACACGTACTCTCATCCATCACAATTTTCAGGGTTTTTTTTTTCATGTTATAAATTACAAATGTTAAAAAGTATGTGAAATTAATTTAAATGTGAATAGAATTAATTGTAGAGTCATCACACTTGTACCGTGAAACATAATCAATGAAGTAGTAACTATTAGTAATTTTTATTTACTGACTCATTGTATGAAATAGTAGATATCACTGAACCAAAACAATTCTTAAAAAACAAAAGGTAATACACAAGAGACTTGGAAGCCAAACAACGTTATTAAAAGCTACCTAATGAAGAAGGAGGAATTTGTTAAAATATGTCCCACCCACAAGGAAAGAAATAAAGAGCTAGTTTAGTTCTTTGTTAAACCCAGAGGAAAGATGTCGGGAAGGGCTAGAACTTGTGTTAAATATAGGCTTCATGGAAATCGAGTTCATTGACAGGACATAAAAAGAATTGCCCTATTATTGATTATAGGGTGAAAGTGAAATAAATAGCTATAGTAACTTACTTTATAACTGTTACGAGCGCTGGTGGAAATAATGATTTGGTAACTATTGTCCCATGCTAGAAAGGTACGTATCTCGCAAACATTCCCGAAATGATTAATAAAATTCCTTCTGTTTTATTTTGAGCTTCAAGCAAATGATAAGTTTAAAACGTCGCCGCGGTTGTTGTCAAGTCGCTTAATTCATTTGACTTTATTTTAATTCGTTTTTTTCCTCTCTCAGTAAACGTCTAAGCATAGCACATGTGCAAACTCTCAAGCTCAAAGAGGAGGTGCTTTGTGTGAAATATAGGTGATGATGCAATGTTTTAATAAAGAATATTAAAGTGACATGGTCCACCAGCATCCCTTTCGAGCTTTTGTTAATGTTTGAAAATAGAAATACATCGTAATATAAGCAAAAACTTACTCTTTATTATTCCTTTATCCTATATGGAGATGCTTTAAGATTCGAACATTAAACCGATGGATGGAAACGGATTGCGAATGGATATTCGAAGTCACCTCATTTTCCATATATATGAAAAATCTAAAACACGACCGCATTGCATGCTGGTGGAACATATTCCTTTTATTTTTTGCCTAGTAAGCTATATTATATTTACTATTAAATGATTATTCTGACTTTTGTTGTCATATTGTGCATAATTTTTGTAGTCCAAACCAGAAGTTTCTGGCAGTCAGTCTTCTGGATTGTACAGTGAAGGTATTCTTTGCTGACACTCTTAAGGTAAATTTTAAAAACAACATTTCAAAATTCATAAAAAATTTTAATCATAAATTTTGGTTGTACTAATTTATAGTTTGTGTGTTTTTATCCGAGTCTAGTTTTTCTTATCTCTATATGGTCACAAACTGCCTGTTATGGCATTGGACATTTCTTCGGTAAGGTGTGAATCATTGCTGTCTTGGTGTCTTTGTTCTCGTCTTCCTATTACGGTTTAATTTTAGTTGTTGTTTTTTTCGACCATACCTCTCCTTTTAAGTTTGCTTTTTGAAAATCTTGCCATGCACCGGTTTAACTGGTGTTTGGACCAGTAATAAAGCATTGATCAAAGTTTTGTTTGACCTAATATTTAGCTTCATCAACGTTACCTAGGCAATGGAAATCAAATTTTGTCTAAATTCATTTTTGTCAAATATCTCAAAAAAATTGATGAGAATGATCAAGAAAAGCGGTAGCCATCATCATTAACTTCAAACTATTGCACAACATTTTGGAATCATTGAAAACAAATTCATCTGTTTGATTTCGAGTATTGACAAATATTTTATAAAGAATGAGATGTGATTTTTGCATGATTCGGTACATAGTAGCCGCTTAAAGGCCCAGTGTGCACCATTATGCTTTGGGGCCCACGAGGGCCTGGTGGCGGCCATTTTCAGTTTACCGAAAGTCTATAAAATATTGTACTAAAATAAAAATGTGTTTCGAATATGCTCATATCTTGGCCATCTCACTTTTCTACGTAAGCACTTTAAAGTCCACCTCACCCAATTTTTTTTATATTTGGAAAGAAATAAGACTTTTGTCATAGTAACAGCAATTTGTACAAACAAATTTGATGAAGCGAAAACAAAGCGAAAGCGAAAGCCAATTTCGGGATTCCTGTGTGCCTGATCAATCTCTTCGTGATGACGTAGAGGGAGTAAGTCGTTCGAGAGACAACGATAGATACCTACAGTGAAATGACAGTAAAAATCAAATCTGAAAACAAGATAACCTGGAATTTGAACAGCTGTATTTTGTAAATACTACCTACATATATTGAAAGAAGTTACTTACCTGGGGCCGTAAATAACTTTTCCTGTTCCTCGATATWKATCTAGATCTATACGCAACACTTGTTCGTCCAGAATAATCTCTCAACACTTTGGCTCCATTTTTATAGCCAAGACATAAAATAACGTTTAAATCGTCAGAATAATCTCTAGTAGCATTAGATTTGCTGTTCCAGGTTGGATTATCCCGCGTTCAGTCTTAGAAAACATAGATTTGTTGTAATGAAATATGGGGAACTTGTACAGTAAACTTTGTATTTTTATTTTTTTTTTGTATTTATTTTAATTTACCGAAGGACGAGTTACTCCATCTACATCATCAACCCACTCTCCCTCGCACTCGGCCTAAAATCATTTGGTCGAATTAAACGAGCATAAAAAATATAAAATTTGGAAAGTCGAATTTTTTTAATGTGAATTTGTGGTTTATAACTCCTAAACTTTTTTTTCCAAATGTAAAAAAAATTGGGTGAGGTGGACTTTAAACAATAATATTAGAGTTTTCAACCATCGGAAATTCGTTTTATGGTGATATTTGGACACTAGAAGTATGGGGTGTAAATCATAACTGCACAATAACAGAGGACTGCACAAAGCATAATATGGTGCAAACAGGCCTTTATCTAATAGTTAATATTTAATTTCCATATTAATTTGATTCTTTGTAGGATAGTACGCTGATTGTTACTGGGTCAGCTGACAAAAATATCAAAATATGGGGTCTGGACTTTGGTGATTGTCATAAGTCCATATTTGGGCATGATGACAGGTAATTATAGCCAGGAGATCAGTATATTTTGTGTGACTGACAGTCAGTGTGATGTTACTGCCAATCATGGCAGACGTCACAGCAAAGTCACAGAACCTTGTTCCTTGCAATAACTACAAGTTAGTACTAAGTAAAGACAGTGAGTTTGGAATATCAATGTGTTATGATCTAA